TCAAAATAAGTACATGAATTATTGTAACAACCATGAATTGTGTATTTCTAGGCATGGGTAACTAAATCCTCAACAAGGGTTGTGGGAACCATGAGTGATTAACAAGGTAAAACTAGTTTAATAACAATTCTAGAATAGATTCTTGCATTTATTAATAATTCTTTTATTTAGAAGTCTTTTTAACGAGTGCACACGTTAGAACTTGCCCTATTTCTAGTTGCCGGACCAAAGATGTAGTTAATAAGAAAAAATTATCAACATAGATTTAGTGGACACTATCTAATAGGCTAGTGCGGGAAGTAGTAACTTAGCCATATATTATATGATTCTTAATATGAGGTAAGGTAAGGTCTAGTAAATTAGACACCAGCAGCCAGACCAAGGTGCGGGGTGAAATTCTTTAGTTGTCGGATCAAGGAATTAGAGATATCTAACTTACAACTTTGCATGCAAGACACTAGAAATGAATTGTTATAGCTAGGATTACTGCGTTATCAACCTACAGGGAACACTTACACCTGTGTTTTTCTCATCACGTGATAAACACCGAAGATTTAGTTTTGCTACTTGTTTTACTTAGAAATAATTGAACACTTTTCTTTCACAAAACCCCAGTTTGATTTACTGTTTTCCAGAAAAGACTTGACTGAATAGACGTAATCGGAGACTAAAGTTAAGTCTAAATCTTTTTCCTCGTGGGATCGACCCCAACCTAAAAATTGGATTCTCTACTTGATACGGCCTCTTATACTTCTATAGACAAGTATAATTTGAGTGTATCAAATTTTGACACCGCTGCCGGGAAAATGAATTTTAGATTAACTTTTAGTGCAACGATTGAATTTTAGTCAATAATTTCCTAATTTTACTTTGTTTCTTCATTTTTATGTCTTTCAAGTCTAGCTCCAAGTACACGAGTCGAGGAGAACCAACACTTCTATTTGATCAAGAACTGAACCATACATTACGCAGAATGAATGTGCCACAAAATCCTGCTAACCATGGTGATGGGATAAACCGTCAACTTTCTCCACAGGTTGATGCTCATAACCAAGTAATCGTGAAAAACCTTGATGAGGGCGCTCTGAAGAGACAACCTCCTACCCCACGCCCTCAAGATTATTATAGGGGCAATGTTAACATCATCGATTCGGATGGACCTCTTGTCCTACCTCCTCTACAACAAGTTCATTCATTCGTGGTAACTAGTACCTTGATGTAGACTCTTACCGCTAGAGATTTGTTTTCGGGGATACCATCTGAGGATGCTCACATCCCCAAACTGAGGTCAGTATGCAAGAGTTGTGTAAGGAGGCCAGAATTGGACATGGATATCATTGGATTAAGGGTGTTCCCTCTCTCACTGACGGGAGAGGCCGCAATTTGGTTTACTGAGTTGCCTTATAATTCGAGCTGAGGGATGTGTTCCTAGCAAGGTATTAACCGATTCCTAAAACGCTTAACCACAAAGATAGGGTGAACAACATTGTGGCATTGCCTGAAGAGTCGGATAGTAGTTCTTGGGATAGGTTCACCTCATTTGTGAAAATTGTCCCGAACCACCACATTAATGATGAATCGTTGAAAGAGTACTTCTTTAGGTAAGTATAATTTGAGTATATCAGGGTCACAAAAGACTTGGGGTGAATTTACTAAACACCCCAAGACTTTACAAGAAACTTACAGATTTTGGGAAGTTTTCACCAACGGATCATTTTTCAATGGGCGGACCCTTGGTAGTGACTCATTGGTTGAGACTTAGCTACATTGGAGCCTTTCCATCCTGACTTGCAGGGCCAATTGACGCCCTAGGTCGACGGACCGTTGGTGTACCAATGGACCGTCCTTAGGGTCGTCTATTGGTCACTGTTTTGGTAGCTTGATCGTAGTCTTGGTCCCTTAATCTAGGGTCCCTTGTGGGTCTTAGGTGGGGTCCGGACTTTAAACCCCTAAACTAAGCCGTCTAGGTCTTAGGAATATCTTACATCAATTTCGATTAAACAAACACGTAAAACTCACTCAAACGCATAAAGAGACACAAGCGCTATCTTAGGCACACCTTCCGAACGTCATGGACGTTCTTGGACTATGATCTCCAAATTTAACCAAACTTCATACACTGCCTAAGAACACTAAATTAACTCATTTTAAAACAAAATTAACTCAAGAAACATTCACAAGGCTCTAGCTCACCTTAGTTCGTTTTAGGGTGTTAGAGTATCCTCGGTATACCTGTGGGTTAGGGGTGTTCACCATTTGGACAAAAGTTGATCCAAACAAAAAAATATATATCAAAATTATTCAATAAATAAATTTTATTTTGGTATGGTTTTGTTTGTGTTTATATTTTTTAAAATCAATAGTTTTTTTTTTCTTTCTTTGGAAAAAATCAAAGAAATAACTTAACCGATCTGATAAATTATGTAAGTACATATATTTTATTATTACTAGTTTCTGGACACATTTATCCTATCTAAACTAACATAAAATGTTTTAAATCACTAAAGTATAGAAAATCATCTTACAATTAAATTACAATAATATCATATCATTCCTTTTTAGAATAACAGTTCAAATATTTGAGATCTACTCTTTGACATCAGCATATAAGGCAACGAATTGACATATGATAACAAGTATCTCTCGTCGAGCTAAAAGAGAGATGAAAATACTTCTTAATTTAAAATTTTATAATTATGAAGGAAACCTAATCGATGTGTATTATTATCTAACATACACAAGATAAAATTCAGAGAAAAAGACAGAAAAATGAAAAGACAATAATTATTAATATAGTTCAAATATAAATGAAGGTTGCCATTGACCTTCAATATTGACTTTTTTATCATAAAGGAATATCAAACATCGATTTCTGCTAAATGAAATATTTTTTTCAAAGATTAGCTTTGAATATAGAAAGATAAGTGACAACTTGGATGTCAAAATGTATGAAAAGTTAAAAAATGAATTTATATTTCTCAAAATAAAATAAAAGAAAAAATATAAATATAAATTAAGAAATCATATCATGACTTCTTCCATGAATGGAACAATTTATTATAAGTCTTATCATTCATTATGTTTTATACCTCAAATTATTTAGTGTTTCTATCTTACACCTTACTCAAAAAAATATTAATTAACTAAACTATATTAAAAAATATAATACACTACACTCTTACACACCCTTTAAAAATCAACTCAACATATTTAAATGACTAAACTTTAAAGAAAATGAAATAACTTTTATCATCAATTAATATAGTACAATAATGTAATCACAAAAAAAAAAGAAAATTACATTTTTAATAGTTATGAATTATATTACAAAAGTATATTAGTAATTTTATGATCTTATGTGTGACATTTATTGTACATTTAAAATAAGAGAAACTATATGATAAAAAAAACATATCTAATTTTTTTATGTATAATGATGTCTCCTTCGTGGTAGGAGTATATTGACCATGTCATGATCTTATGCACGAGCTTTTATTTTACAGTTGAAGAAGAGAAATTATATACTAATTACAATAAAAAATAATTAAAAATAAATAATTGATTTTTGTGTGATGATGTCTCCGTTGAGAAGATGAAGTCATTCACCTTTGTTCTTCTACAAAGAAAGTGAAGGAATGTTTTGTTCAATCTCAAATAAGTTTGATTGACCACCTCTTAGTCTTCTCATAAACCAATCTACTAAAACATTTCTTGAAATACTTTATCCCCATATACTTCACAGGGCTTGTATGTCTCTTGATGTTATTCACTCTAATATCATTGATATTTATAGATAGAAAATGTAGGAATAACTAAATTATATAAGGAAATTCGTAAAGTCAGTAGTTAAATAAGTATAAATAATGATATATATTCATGGAAATATTAATATTTTTTTTGAATAACCTGAATCCTTTTTTATAGATAAATCATATTAAATTGTTTGACATTTTTAAAATAACCTTTGATATTCCTAGAAAAGATCTGTAATTAATATATTCGTCATTGAAACATCTTTGTTTTGTTATAATTTAATTATAGAGAAAATGGTCAAATAGCCCCCCCCCCCCCCCCCCGAAAAAAATTAATAATCTATTATCGAATTCTCAACTATAATACATTTATAATATAAATGAATCCTATAAACCCCTGAACATTTAAAAAATATAATATATAACCCTTAAAAGCTTGCACCCACATTTGTATCATGGATTGGTTGGCACTTGCCTGCCACATAATAATCCTTTATATATATCAAATTAAATTAATTCATTTTTTTATTGTGTTGTCATAGAAGCAGCCATTTGCCCAGAGCTGTTTGTCAGAGTTGCACCACTGCCTCAAATTCTTTCAATATAAGGATTTTTCCCACCCGCCTGCTCAGTCATCTTCTTTATTCTGTCAATTCAATCTTCAAAAATCTCCAATCTTCGTTCAATAGTCAATAAATTATCTGTCAAATTCTCCATTTTTACCCGATCTATTTTTCCTGTCTTATTTATGAAATTTTCATTCAAAATCAACAATAATTTAATGATCTCATATTGATGAAATTTTCACTCAACATTAATAATACTTGAATGCCCAATAGTTTTCTTTTTTTAATTTAGTTTGTTTCTGTAGGAATCTTTAAATATAAAGATTTTATTTGGCTTTTGTAAAATTAGAAGTTCATTATAGATTTAGTAGTCAGAGTCTTTTCGAATTTGGAAAAACATAAACATTTGAATTTTTAAATTTTGTGCTTGAGATTGAATCTACATCTCCAACTTTAAATATATTGAAGCTGTGGAGAAAAATAGAGAAAGTGGAGATGTTGGTTCTCACCGAAACTGGTGATTGATGGATATGTTCTCACATAGTGTAGTAATAATGGTTATTTCTTGAGGAGTTTTAGTTGAGCTCCTATGAGGAGTGTGAATTTGAAGGTGAGAGGTTTATTGATAGAAGGTCGCTGATGCAGGCTCCTGGAGGTGGAGGAGCAAAGCTCGTATAATGGATCAAAATGTCGTCGTCACTGGTGTTGTTGCCGACCACCGGTGTTGTTGCCCGCCGGCGCCGGTGTTGTTTCTGTGCCAAAAAAAGAAGAGAGAGTGTAAAAAGATCAAAATAAAATTAAAGGAAACATAATTTTTTTAAAAGAAAAAAACAAAAAGCTACTCTAAAATAAAAGAAATATTACTAAATTTTTAATTAGCTTTTTTTATTCACATTCACTCTCTCAAAGAGAGTGAACTACACACTCTTTGCCACCTCAGCATTTAGGAGAAAATAATTTCATATTAAAATAGCATAGGGGCTAATAGTAATCCTCTGAAATAAAAGTGTGTAGTTGAGAATTCGATAATAGGTTAGACGTTCATTCGACCATTTTCTCTTAATTTTATATAAATATAAGTTATTATGTGAATATTGGTAAATGTTTATCAAGTGAAGGATAAAGTGGTCGTTTAATTTTTTAGGGATATTTAATCACTATCTAATATTAAAAAATTAAAAAAAATTATAATATATTAATTTAGTGTAGGGGCAAAATTGTAATTCAACTTTGAAGTTTGGGTCTTCCCACTTATAATTATACTAGTAACAACTTTAATGTGATCTTGAAACTTCGTCAGATTTTCTGGATAAAAGTGTGGAGTAGCGCTCCACCAAGGTGCTAGCACTACCGTCCATTAGTTTGGGTCCTAGTGCCCCGCGCCAGCATTGCGCCCGAAACTTAGGCCAGTAGTTTGGGACCTGGCGTCCCGTGTCAGTAGTGCGCCAAGGTCGTCTAGACTTCTTCCTTCTGTGTTTCATTTCAAACGTGTTCATAGAGTCGTGACTATGTTCCCTTCTTTGTATTACCTCCTAAAGGATCCATTTAGCTTTGAGAATTTCTACATGTTCTAATCACATGTCTTGATTAAAAAAAGTTAAAAAATAAAATAAATTAAAGTAAGTTTAAGAGGAAAGTTCAAGGAGTCCTTTTGATTTTTTTTGAAAATCTTTTGTAAATAACAATGGTTTAAAGTGAGTACTTTTTGAGAAATTAAATATGAGAAATGAAGAGTCTTATTCATGATATATGATAAAATTGAAAAAAAATGGATACAAATTGTGACGATTATGTTTCTATTCTCTCGTGTGTTTGTATGTGTGTGTATATACACATTAGTTCTCGACACGTGTATTCTATACTAGTTAGTACAACAAATATCTTATAATAATAGAAAAAAAGAGGAAAAGATTGAGCATATGGTAGAATTTTAAAAGAATCAAAATAAACCCAACAATCTATATAAAAAAAATTGAAAAGTTTTTTTATGGGTAAGTATTTCTTAAATACAAAAACTTAATGCGTTACATGTATCTTTTAAAGTAAATATTCATGCTTTATCTTTTTAATATTTATTATAATAGTATTTAATCTTAATATTTTCCAGATAACTTTTCCAGTTCTTGAAACCCTTTGCTCATTTATGGCTCCTGATAATGCAGGGGAAGAAAGTAGTCTGGCTTAACCTACCACTGGAAAAATGTGATCTAGTTCATAGTAAAGGTATTCCGTGCTATCAGCTTACCCAAATCGATATAGGAAATTACTCTCCCGTGCTACTAACTTTTTAAAGCTTTTCTTTGTATAGAAAATAAAAGAAATTAGTGATTTTATAAAAGAGGATTAAAGTACAACTCTTGCACTTTAAAGGCATAATACATAAATATGCCTTTAACATGACTTTGAATTATATTTATGTCCTTCAACTCTGGGTGTGCACAAGTAGACACTTAAACTTGTCTAAAGTTGAACAATAATTACACATGTCCCACATGTCTTCCTACATGTCATTTTTTGTCCTACGTGGTGTTCTACGTGTACTGTTCCATGTAGGACTCATGTGTTTATTTATTTAAAAGTTTGATAGTTAAAGTGCTTGTTTGTGCATTATGAAAGTTGGAGGTCAAAGTTAAAAATTTAAAGTCAAGTTTAGGGTGCAATATATGTGTTATGCCCAATTTAAATTATACTATTATGTGATTAAAATTTTAATATTTAATTAAATATTTAATCATTTTAATTAAGTAGAAGGGGAAAATGGTAATTTATCTTTGAGGTTAGGAGTTTTCTACTTTTAGTAATACTAGATTCACTGCACGTGTGTTGCACGTATAGGTTATGTTTTGCGTTCCCTATACACGAGAAATTTTATCTATTAAGTATATTTTAGGCTTTAAACATATGAATCTATATTGAATATTGCACTACGCAATACAAAGTGAGTGGTCAATCTATTAGTCTTCTTGCTTGCTGGGCATGTAGTGACGAACATCGTATTTTTAAATTCTTATTAGGAAATTTGTTAGTAAGTAATTATGCACGAATTAACCATTTTTTCCCTTAGTTATGTCGTTTCATGAAGTGTATATTCCCTTTTAATTTTTGAAATTCAATGTACCATACATTTGAATAACTTTATATACACAAAAGTAATGTCTTCTGTGGTAGATGTCTGGTGTTTTTCATATCGTCTCCTCTTCAATAAAAACTAAGAATTCTTCCAATATAATTTTCATTAGTTACATGTGTAGTATACTTATTTTTCTGTTTGATTTCTTATAATTTTGATATTAATCAAATCTTACCTAATACTTTCCTGAAGAGAGTATTTCTTGTATATGTCCTTTTGGACCAATCTGGTTGTTCAGTCATAAGCTGCACTTGTTTTGTTGGCATAGATACTCCTCTAGATAGTGGAACATATAGTTTGCCATGCGAGAAAGCATGTTGTGGTAGGTATACTCCTACATTTCGTAATGTTTGATCTTTAGAATTATTCTACATCATTAAAAAAATATAGACGTATTAGAAACTATTTCTTAATAAATTTAAAAGGGTATCCTTCATTTTCGCGTTGGGATGGTGGTGGTGATAGTTG